TGCAATGAACATTCATGTGCATGTGTCCTTATAGTAGAATGATTTATAATCCTTTGGATATATACCCAGTAATGGGATTGCTGGGTCAAATGGAATTTCTATTTCCAGGTCCTTAAGGAATCACCACACTCTCTTCCACAATGGTTGAACTAATTTACACTCCCACCAACAGTGTAAAAGTGTTCCTATTTCTCCACATCCTCTCCAGCATCTGTTGTCTCCAGATTTTTTAATGATCGTCATTCTAACGGGTGTGAGACAGTATCTCAATGTAGTTTTGATTTGCATTTCTCTAATGACCAGTGATGATGAGCATTTTTTCATATGTTTATTGGCCTCATGTATGTATTCTTTTGTAAAGTGTCCGTTCATATCCTTCGCCCACTTCTGAATGGGCTTGTTTTTTTCTTGTAAATCTGTTTTAGTTCTTTGTAAATTATGGATATCAGCCCTCTGTCAGATGGGTAGACTGCAAAATTTTTTCCCCATTCTGTTGGTTGCTGATTCACTCTAATGACTGTTTCTTTTGCTGTGCAGCAGCTGTGGAGTTTGATTAGGTCCCATTTGTCTATTTTGGCTTTTGTTGCCAATGCTTTTGGTGTTTTGGTCATGAAGTCCTTGCCTATGCCTATGTCCTGAATGGTTTTGCCTAGATTTTCTTCTAGGATTTTTATGGTGTTAGGTCTTATGTTTAAGTCTTTAATCCATCTGGAGTTAATTTTAGTGTAAGGTGTCAGGAAGGAATCCAGTTTCTGCTTTCTGCACATGGCTAGCCAGTTTTCCCAACACCATCTATTAAACAGGGACTCCTTTCCCCATTGCTTGTTTTTGTCAGGTTTGTCAAAGATCGGATGGTTGTAGATATGCTGTGTTGCCTCTGAGGCCTCTGTTCTGTTCCATTGGGCTATATCTCTGTTTTGGTACCAGTACCATGCTGTTTTGATTACTGTAGCCTTGTAGTATAGTTTGAAGTCCTGTAGTGTGATGCCTCCCGCTTTGTTCTTTTTGCTTAGAATTGACTTGGCTATGCGGGCTCTCTTTTGGTTCCATATGAAGTTTAAGGTGTTTTTTTCCAGTTCTATGAAGAAGGTCATTGGTAGCTTGATGGGGATAGCGTTGAATCTGTAAATTACTTTGGGCAGTATGGCCATTTTCACGATATTGATTCTTCCTAACCATGAACATGGAGTGTTTCTCCATCCATTTGTGTCCTCTCTTATTTCGTTGAGCAGTGGCTTGTAGTTCTCCTTGAAGAGGTCCTTTACGTTCCTTGTTAGTTGTATTCCTAGGTATTTTATTCTCTTTGTAGCATTGTGAATGGCAGTTCGTTCCTGATTTGGCTCTCATTAAGTCTGTTATTGGTGTATAGGAATGCTTGTGATTTTTGCACATTGATTTTGTATCCTGGAGTCTCACCTTTTCTTCATAAATGTTAGGAGCAAGGAGAGCAGTTTGTTTGGAGCAGGAGGCTGTCTTGATTGCTCCAAACCCATTTTAGCTAGTAAGTCCTAGATGTGTTGTCCCAGTGACATGGGAGAGAACAGGAAGTGACTAAGGAAGGCAACACGGACCATGGCAGGGCTCCGAGCTCTCACACACCCATTCAGGATTTATGCATGTATACAACACCAAAGCCCTGCTTTCTGCATCCCTCGCTTGATACCACCCAGTTCCCATCTCCATCACGCTGTCCTCTGGACCATCCCTCAGTGCTGCTCACTTCTTGCTAGCATCAGGCTCCCCCTGCCGCCTCCTATGGGGAAAATGATTTGACCGCCTAGTTGCGCATGTTCAGTGCTGTGCTATCCTGTTGATGACAGATCTGTTCTTAGTTGGTTTCCTTCCAATTTTGTGTAAACCACAGTATGTGTGTAAAATGCAGACTTTGCAAATAAACATGTTATTATGGGCACCAGCTGGTGTTAAACTGGCCATTTTTTTTTTCACTTCTTATACATTTAGTGCTTATAGACATCAACTGGTGTTGTATTGACCTGTTTTTCCACTTGATTTTTGTATATTTGGTTGTTTTAGTGTAAGTATGTTTTTCCTTAGGTATTCATGATCAAATTTACCCCTCAGCATTTTACTTTCTTTCTTCATGTATTTCCTTTATTTCATTTTTAAATCTCCTTAGGAGAAGAAGTTCACTTACAATCTAAATTTTTGTGGAGTACTGTCCCTTTATATTTCTCCTATTACTTTTTTTAAACTAACTTTGATACCTCTCCTTCACCAACTTACTGTTTTTCTCTTTAATAGTGACCACTTGGTGCTTTATCATTGTCCACTTACCTAACATTTTCTGATATCTATAAGATTTTCTTCCCTTACAGTGAGTCATAGTGAGCCCTGCGAGGGTAGAGAAGCTGGTTCTGCTTTGCCACCTGAGGCACACAGACACATGGTAATAAAAATAGCATAGAATGAGGCTGCAGAGCCCCCTGCACAGAAAAAAGCACTGTTGGATAAATGGCCATAAACAACATGACATAACTTGCAACAGTGCCCAGACACTACTAGCTGATGAAACTCAGCGTGGCTTTCATGGGAAGAGGCAGGCGTACTCTGTGTAGCTGCTGCTGGCAGACAAAGGAAAAAGTGTGACTTACAACCCCTAAGGTTATCCTTAGCAGCAACACAGAAACCCTGATTCTCTCCAATAGGCTTGCATTATTTTCCAGCAAATGAACCACATTTCACGAAGATCTTTGACACTGTGATAATGTCCTGCAATACTCACTTCTGACTGTTTTGTCTCCTCATAGAAAAAAACAACACCCTGCATTTTCAAACTGTTGGTTATAAATTCTCAAGTGTAGACCTCACATAATTGGGATTTATCAATACTCAGCCTTTTCAGTAAACAACATCAGAAATTCAGGTGCGTTTTTCAGGCAATTTTATTTCATCTTCTTTTTTGCATCCTATGGACTTAATGACTCTCTGATGCCCTAATGCAACCTTGCTTTCTCTCAACATCTAGAATTCACAGACTAATTCTGATTATTTTCCCTAGCTCGAGGTATGGAATCAACTATCCTTCCAATGGGCAGTGGTTTCTCTTTTCAGAGAATTGTTTTAGAAGCCACTGGCACTGGGTCTACAAATAAGCTTGTTCCACATTCCAACTGGAATTTGTCAGGATGACAGCAAAAATATCCGAGAGCATAAATCACTGTAGGGACCGAACAGATAAAGTCTCCTTTTAAAAAATGTCCATGGGTTCTTATTGACATTTCTAATTTACTTCTATTTTAATATGTTCTTTGCCTTACTCTAATAAAAAGTTTATAAATTCATTTTTTTCAACTTTTGGGCAACTAATTTTTCTTGTTTTCATTAATGTTAACAACCACAAAGAGCTATATATTGTCACACCAAATCACAAGTATAATTTCAGTGCCACCATCCCAAAATTCAGGCAGTTCGTATCTTCTCTTCTTTCTTGACCCTCAGTTCAGCCATCCTGAAACCAGCTTTACAGTGTGTAGGTCCCATCAATTCTTTGATCAGCATCATGTTAGCACCAATATCTGAAAGGAGGAAGCCCCAGCCTCCATCTAGGTGAACACCAAAGAAACTAAGAGCTCAGAACACTTAGTATGATACATAGATACCTGTTTGCTTAATAAAAGATGATAGTAATAGGCCAGGCGCAGTGGCTCATGCCTGAAATCCCAACACTTTGGGAGGCCAAAGCAGGTGGATCACCTGAGGTCAGGAGTTCGAGACCAGCCTGGCCAACATGGCGAAATCCCATCTCTACTAAAAATACAAAAAGTTAGCTGGGCATGGTGGTGATGCCTGTAATCCCAGCTACTTGGGAGGCTGAGGCAGGAGAACTGCTTGAACCCCGGAGGCAGAGGTTGCAGTGAGCTGATGTCGCACACCATTGCACTCCAACCTGGGCAATAAGAGCAAAACTCCATCTCAAAAAAACAAAAAAAAAGACAATAAAAGGTAATTGTAGACAAATGCTACTTTTCAAAGTCACAAAAATATTATCTGTCAATTTTCTGCATTTGAGGCCCCCAGTTTGAATTTAGTTTATATTCTCTTTATATTTTTTCTCTTACTAGTGCCTTTGTATATTTATGGAGCAGAAATTTTAGTAGTAAACTCTAACTTCACAGAGGGCCATGGATACATACAGTGGTGTACTGGCGCTGGCCTGTGCCAGTTGATAAGAGTCAATTGGGTGCTTCTCTTCCCAATTCTGCATCAAAGTTGCCAATTAAAAGATAAATGGTAAACTCCAGAGACATCATGTTCATGGCATGAAATACGCATTGTAGGCCAGGTGTGGTGGCTCACACCTGTAATCCCAACACTTTGGGAGACCAAGGCAGATGGATCACCTGAGGTCCAGGGTTCGAGACCAGCCTGGCCAATATGGTGAAACCCCGTCTCTATTAAAACTACAAAATTAGCCAGGCAGGGTGGTGGGCACCTGTAATCCCAGCTACTCAGGAGGGAGGCTGAGGCAGAAGAATCACTTGAACCTGGGAGGTGGAGACTGCAGTGAGCCAAGGTCACACCATTGCATTCCAGCCTGGGCAACAAGACTGAAACTCCATCT